CCGTGAGTACTTACTGAATACAACGGAGGACCAGTTGAATGAATGAGTGGATGAATGAATGAGGGAATAGTTCCGTGCTCTCTAAGGCTCCAACGGTGGGGATGTAGCTAGCGGGGAGGGAAGGTCAGGCAAGAGCAGGGCCACTCGGTTCCATTGTCAGAAGCCCAGCACCAACCCTGGAGCAATGTAAGTGACCCCAAAATAGGCATTAAATACATGAATTCATGTAACCCGGTAGGCTGTGGCATCCACCCCGATATAGCAATTGTGCTTATAAACTCAGTAAGAATTATCCTAAAGAAGGGTCACAAATCCAAAACAGCTCAGAGGAGAGGGCACCTCCTCCCCCACCTTCCTGCCCTTTCTCCCTCTTCAACCAGAGAGGGTCAGTGCCCAGCTGCCGGGAGGCACAACCCCTTTGAATCTGACCACATCACCCAGGAAGCCTGCGTTCAAATTCTGGGGGCATTTCTAAAGCTCTCAGATGTTCTGCTGATGTTAAAATCTAGAGGTCCCCAGGGGCTTCCAGGTTTACAAGTGATATTTTAGAAAATGCTCCACAAGGAAAACAAAGTGTACTCTGCCCCACTCCCACCTACCACACCCCCTCCCCCACTCCCACCACCCACCACCCACCATCCTCCTTTACCATTTGATACTTTCGGGTTTCCCAGGGACTAGAGAGAAACTGGAGAGATTTTATTTTATACCCTACAGCTGTTGCAAAGCTGGAGAAACCCCACATATTTAAAATAGTGAACTGGCTTCCAGGCTGAGAATATTTCTTCTTCAGCATTTGAAGATCTGGAGCCTGCTATTTGATTGACCCATCTCTTAAAAATACAATTAAAAAACAGTAAAATGTGAAGGTTTTCATCCTATACCGGTTGCCCCTGAGTACTTAAGAGCAATTTAAGTACAGCATGGGGACTGTGGTTAGTAATGTTGCGTCCCCTGCTGGGAAATGGCTCAGAGAGTAGATCTTAAAAGTCCTCATCACAAGAAAACCAATACTTTGAAACGAGGCATGAAGACAGATGTTAAGTAGACTTCTTGGGGTGATCATTTTGCAATATATAAAAATAAAAAATCATTATGTTGCACACCTGAAACTAACATCATGTTCTATGTCAATTGTACCTCAATTAAAAAAAAACCCCAAATATGGGGAGGCCAATGAGAAATAGAGAGCAAAAAAAAAAAAATGTTGAATATATTATTGGCTATTTTCACCTGGTTTCTAAAACTCTCCAACCAGAGAGGTGGGGAGGCTTCAGCTGGGATGTGCCTCCCGAGCAAGAGGGAGGGTCTGAGAATTGATCAAGTCTCTTAGCGCTGCCCCGGGCTGGCCGTCCATCCGCCGCCCAAGGAAACAGGAATCTAAACACTTTGAGAGAAGGCGATTTCACAGTCTCTCTGGGAGTCCTCTTTCATGGTCCAATAAGCCCTTACAGTCAGGAAGTTGTTTCTTGGTCTGACCTACGGCTCTGATGCTGCATTAAACCGTGTTGATCTTAAAGACTCCGGGTTTCCTGGATGGCACCTATCTCGGGCTTTCCCGGGGCCCATGAAGGTAAATGAGCCGCCTTTAAAGGGACATTTTAGAGGAAATCTGTCTTCCACTGTCGAATGGCTGGAGTGTTCCTGCTGCTGGAGCCTTTGATGATTTCCTTGCTCTCCGAACTGCCTGCCCCACAGCGGGGAGGCGGCCCTGGCTTCCATGGAGTGGGGTCGGGTCCTGGGGATGGTCTCTGCGATGAGGTGCAGAGGAGGGTTGCTGCTCTGTCTTCCAGTCCTCACCCCTCCTCGGGGGCCAGTGCTGACAGTATTTGCAGTTGCTTTACTCACCCCCTGGCTCCATCTCGTCCTTCATGCCCCTCTTTGGGATACCCCACAGGAGAGAGGTCTCCATGGAGACCCTGCCTCCAGGCTGTACTGAGCAATATCCTTGTGGACTGAGGGCACTTTCCCCTACCCTAACCATTCCAACCACCATTGTTTCTTCTGTCCTGTTTTGAAGGAAGCTTCTAGACCCAAAAGCCCTTGCATCACAGCGGCGTGTAGTGGACAGGGAATAGATATTTGTGAATGGAGGTGTTAATGAATGAATAGGATAGTGCCTCACCGTGTACCGACTAGACATGTTGGCATTTTGGGTTTCAGTTGCTTCCCTGTTTAGCAGTGGGTTGGTTTTTTTTTTTTTTTTTTTTTTTTTTTTTGCCTCCCAGTAACTGAGATCACAAAGCACATTTAGTAAGTAGAGAATTTGCCCGTAACCCAGGACAGGGAAGACCCAGCTGGGAATCCGGGAAAGAGTTTGACCAAATTTTGGCTTCGGCACTCAGCCATGAACCAGGCAGGACAGAGGCCGAGGAGACAAAAACCACTTCTTGTACTGGTGGCATCCGCTCCAAGGTGTTTCAAGACTCCACCTTCAGGATCCAGGAAACTCTTCTTTCTACCCTTCCCTGAGCCCCCACATCTGCCTTAAGCCTAGAGAGCCAAACTGGGGAGAACAGTGTCAAGTTCAAGGTCCTCTGAACTGAGAGGTCAGCTTACTTTCCTGGAATTCCTAAGGAGGGATATGTTATAAATACTAAGTCTGCATCTCCCTGTCCTCCCCTGACAAGGCAGCCTCTGGAGCTTGGAAACCTGGCTTCTAGAAGAAAATGTAATAGTGTAAACTACTGGCCTTGGGGAGGGAGGGAAGGTTTGACCCTGTTTTATAGAGGTCATGAATCAGCAATGAGTTTAGTAACTGATTATCCCAAGAATCAAATTCCGTTCTGAGAGGTAAAGGGCATTTCAACAAAAGAAGCTTGTCTCTGTCATATTCCTGTTAGTGACATCATCAGTGTCCCTCCCTGACACATACCCTGCTCCTCCAGTCCAGTGGGGTTTTCTTGCTCATGAAGCCCACGGCCAACCAGTGGGTGACCCTCTCCCAAGCCTCCTGTGGGAGCACCTGGGAACTGTGCTCTCCAACACCATCAAAAACCAAACCTCCACCATCAGCCCTGTGGTCAGACCAAATAACACCCCCAAAGTCACCAGGGTACAAACGGTGAACCAGCGAAGAAACAAGTCAAGGAACTAGTGAAAGAATAGTTTCCTCCTACTTGCTCTCTAGTTAAGGGAGCTAATTAATTAATGGTTCACCTCAGCTTTTTACAGCTTAAAAAACAAAATAAAATACGGGGAGGTAAATCTTGACTTTCTCTCTCTTGGAAGGTGCTTTAAACTTCTTCGTCTGTCCCCTACTCTGACTCTCTCTCTTTCCCGAGACATAGCATGCTGTTCTTGGGATGTGATACCCTTTCTTGACGTTCGCATGAGGCCTTCTTTTTAAATCTCAGGCTTGTTACTGTTCTCAGGACTGTGGGAAGCTGTCTTCACTGTAGGAAATGTTCACCTAAATTTTACCCCACTTACTGTATGTACTTGATGGTCCAAAGGGAAAAAGGTTGTCTTGCCTAACAAACTAGCATGTGTCTTTCAATAGCACCCTTTCAAGAAGCCATGTGGTGTTAGGCGGAATCATATAAGAGAGAAGGTCAAGTCAGAACCAGGAGGACAAGACAATATTTAGCCTTTCAGCAGGACCGGAGCCTCAGTAAGGCTCAAGGTATGAGGTCACTTTCAGGTGGAAGATTTAGGATCTCACTGATACTATTCATTCATTTAGTCATTATCCATCCATCCATCCATCCATCCATCCATCATTCCATTTATTTATTTATTTTTTTTTTTTTAAAGATTTTATTTATTTATTTATTTGACAGAGAGAGAGAGAGAGAGAGCACAAGCAGGCAGAGGGGCAGGCAGAGGCAGAGAGAGAAGCAGGCTCCCCACTGAGCAAGGAGCCCGATGCGGGGCTCGATCCCAGGACCCTGAGATCATGACCCGAGCCGAAGGCAGCGGCTTAACCCACTGAGCCACCCAGGCGCCCCCATCATTCCATTTATTAAGAATGTATCCCATTAAACATATTTTCCAGGTCCTGGAAACATAGAGAACAAATCTGACAAAATTTCCTGCCTTCAAGGAGCTTACATTCATTACATTTCACTACTAGGTGAAATATATCATGAGGAGACCAGACGCAGAGATCAATGGAGTGGGAGGGTTGCAATTTGATATAGGCTGGCCTGGGATAATGGGGGCCATTGAAGTGAATGAAAAATATATGTCAGGGAAGCCCATTTACGTGGGACCAGGTATGAGTTGGTATGACCCTTCTGGAAGTAGAAGGGATAGTACAGAAATAATAATTATTCTAGATACTTTCACACTGAGCTTAAGCACTCATCTGACTTCTCACACACTTGGAGAGTGATTTCCAGCTTCTCCTCCATGTCTTCCACTAAGCTGAAGCTCTTCTGAGCAAAGACAGTATCTCCTGCATCCTTTCAAATGCACAAAAAGACTCCTAGAAAAATTGAAAGTTATGAGAAGAGATAGCGAGAGAGAAGGGATGCAAGAGAGATCCCCAAAAGAATTGTGGATGTGGTTTTTGTGTGAAAACTGGATAGAATAAAATTCACAGAAAACTTACAAAGCTTCTGAGAGAGCTAATTGCCAAAACTGCCATCAGACTGACCTAAAAGAAAATGAGACTTTTGGTGATGTAAACAAGTTTCTGGGTCCCTGCCTTTGTCTACCTTTCTTCAGGAAGGAAGCAGACTGGCAATACTGCTCTCCTCTAAGAAGGCCATGGTCCCCAGTGGCTGCTTCAGAAATGCCCAAGGCTGATGGAAATGGAAGATCTCCAGAGGGCAGAGCCAGGAGCCTCACAGAAGAAAGAACTAGGAAGCTGGTCCAAGAATGTAGAACAGGGTCCAAATCAAGAAACATTCTCTACTCCCAGACAACTCCCATTTCAGATGGGAATGTTTTTGCAATAATTCTGTCTCTGTTCCACCATTGTATGTTGGGTGTACATGGGGGAAAGCTACTTGTCTTTTTGATTTTTAGGTCTCTCGATCAAGAGGAGCTTCAAGGAGATCTGATGTTGGTCGTGAGTTTTTGGATCTCCGTCTCAGTGTCAAGATTGCATACAATTTTTGAAGTGTCTTAGGGCTGGAGTAAGTGTATTTTGCATGTGGGAAAGGTCGTTTGTGACCAAAAAGGCAGAGGGTGGGCATTTTCTGTAAATATTCATTCCCTCTCCTTTTGGTCCGCCCCATGGGATAAGTACACTTGACTTTGACTTTGGGCTTCATTATTTTACTTGTTTAGGCAAATGAGATATTAACAGATGTGACACGAGCAGGGGCTTGAAATGTGTCTGCTGTGTCAAACTTGCTGTCTTGCATTTCTGTCATGCGGTGAGAAAAACATGACGTGGGGCCAGGAGAATGGGGCAGTGCTGCCTCAGGTGACCTGCAGATGTGTAGCCTGACGCAATGTCACCCCAGCTGACCCTCCCGCATTTGGGTGAGAAACATTTATTGTCACATGCCACTGTAATATTTGTGCTTGTTACACAGCCATAGCTGATGGAGACAACCCACAATACCCACCTGGAACCCCAGGGCTTCCTGAAAGTTCAGAAGTGAGCCAATACATGCCTGACAAATAGGGCATGGGACAGTGCCAACAGAAGGAGGAACGATACTATTCTTGAGAGGAGCTGAGAAAGTTCTTCTGACTGATTTGAAAAACTCTACATCAGGAGTACGGAAGCAAATGCACCTCAAAGTCTCCCATGCTGGTCAAAGGAAAGGAATAAAGAGTCGGTTGAGGTTGTGGGTGAGGTGATTGGGTTTATGGACTGTGGCCGCCCAGGAATCTTAGTGCATATATACAGTGGACATACTTAGTGTTTGATATATTTGTTATATAGTCATTTTCTGATAATTAAACTTCTTAATATAACTTTGTGGTAAGAGTGCTTTTCCCACATTCCAGAGATTACCGGGAGTCTGACTTTTTTTTTTTTTTTAAATCTTGTTGTATTGTATGTATTTTTAGAAGGAGGTAGAGTAAAAATAAATAGATTAACCAGGAGTGCTGGGAAAGGGGGTTGGGTGGGAAAGGAAAAAAATGCCATTCAGAAATAGACCATGAAACTAATTACCTGGCTAAACCAATGTAAACAGATTTATTGTTTGAGACAGAGGTCATAAACTCAAATGTCTTAGGGGTCAGGCAGGTGACATAAACAAGGGAAGCAGGCCGGTGGGGAATTGTGGTGATAGGGAGAGTGTGTGCCCTGGCTGAGGCAGGCAGTTCTGAGTTGGTTCCTTCCAACTATTGCCGTATGGGGACGGGTCCTAGTGTTGCTAAATCTGAGCGTTTCTGAGAAACAGGGCTGCCACGGATGCTTGTGCAGGTTGTGCACTGCACAAGAGTGCTCAGCTGATAGGGCAATTGGAGATTGAAATATAGTCCCAACTCCACTTAACAAGCCCTGAGCCAGGACACAGGACTTGGGGAACAGAGGTGGGCTGGATTCTAGCCCCCACTCACCCCCTTCAGCTGACCCTTTGTATAGTGCAGAATCCTACAAGGTGGCCCCAGGATGGAATAGCCTGCTTCCCATTGTAGAACTCTCCCCCTTCCATGGCAGCCAGAGCACAGGTGCCCATCCTGGGTTCAGACAGTTAGATGCTCCTTCCCAGGGCCTGGGTCATATTGTCAAGTTTCAGTCATGTTGACACTCACATTCCTCCCATATAATCCTGAATTTGAATGCTGGTACCCATTATCTCCCAGGGATATTGTGAGGATCAGGTCCAATGAGATGATGCATGAAAAAGTGCTCTGCCAACTCTGAGCTAGTGTGCAAGCCTCAGGTATCATACAGCCGCTGAAACAAGAGAATTCTTGGTGCTGATGTTTTAGGCAGAGAGGGAGCAGGCCACTTGATTATTATCAAAATGTGGAAAAAAGGACGTTGAGCTGCATCCCCGGGCTGCCTGCCTGGATCGCTGCTGCACACCTGTGTCTCTCCTATTTCAGTTCATATTTGTATTATACCTTTGCCTTGTTTTACCTGATGCTCATGATAGTCCTTCCTATTTGCTGATGTGGAAACAGGCTCAGACCTAGGATTATGCAGCCAGCAAGGAGCAGAACTAGGGAGTGAATTCGGGTCCTTTCCCTTGTAGTTCATGGTGCTCCCTAGTGGTCTCTTGGGGCCATTGGAGGCCAGCCTGGAGCTCCACAGTACTGTCAGTGATAGGAAGGACCCAGGGCTCCAGAGGGGGATCAGCTGAAAGTTCTTCTCTTCATCTTCTGGAAATAGTAGCCTCCACACCCAACTTTTGGTGAACTGCTTCCTTCTCTATTCAAGGCCCTTCCATGGGAAGCTGCTTCTTCATGCCTGAAAGGGGCCTGCAAGTTAATCTAGACAAAGGAGATACCTGCTTCCAAGATTTTTGAATCTTAAAAGGTGACACACTTAGATGGAAGGCAGTTGCAGCTGGGTCATCCTCAGGCCAAGACTTGAGCATTGGTTCTCAAGCTTGAGTAAGCACCAGAATCATCCAGAAGGCTTCTTGAAACAGATTGCTGGGCTTACTTTTAGAGTATCTGACTCAGAAGGTCTGGGACGGGGCCCGAGAATTTGCATGGCTAACAAGTTCTCAGGTGCTCCTGCTGTCCAGGGGACCACAGTCAGGGGTTCTTAACCAGGGGCTCCTCAGGAGACATTTGGCAATGTCCGAAGACGTTTTTTGATTTTCACCCCTGGAAGACTGTTGTTGGCATCTAGTGGGTAATGGTTAGGGATGATGCTAAGCTTCCTACATTACACAGGGAAATATCTAGCCCCAAATGTCAATAGTGTTGAGGCTGAGAAACTTGGCTCTAAAGAAATGGTTTATGCGCTCCCACACTGAGGACCCAGAGATGCTGGGTTCCTGCCTCCCTCGTGCTCTTCTGTTGAGTTTTTGGGCAATCCCAGGGGCCTTCCAAAATGTTCCATTTTCTTTTATTTAATCAAAATCAGTTTTTGTTCCCTGCAACCAACGATCTGATAGAAGTGAAGATTTTTTGAAGGGCGGGTGGGTGTCAGGAAGAGCATGGGCTGGTTTCTGGGTTAGAATGACATGTAAGCCACATACATTTATTTATTTCCTTTCCTCCTGTGACTCTTGTTCCATCAGGTAAATGCTGTACTCTATTCCATGTTAAATATAAACTTATTTGTTTTGGGTGATTAATGATTCACATTCTTTGTCCTTCCCCTTATTCTTTTCTTTTCTTTTTCTTTTTTTTTCTGCTTATTTCATTGTTTCTTGCTTGTTTCATTTCTTAGTGATTTGTAGGTGCTATCATAAATTCTGGGCATCAATCCATAATCAGTCATGTGAATCAAACATCTATTCTGTAACTTGCCTTTGAACTTTGTTTATGGTGTCATTTGTTGTATAGAGCTTTTAAATTTTACTTCAGTCAAATGAACTCATTTTTTTCTTTTTGGATTATTTTTTAAGGCTCTTTTGGTATGCCAATATAATAAAGATAGTCTCCTCTATTCTCTTTAAAAAATGTAAAGCACTTAAAGCATAAAAGTCTAGTCTTTAATCCATATGGAATTTATTTCTATTTGTAGAGTGGGCCAGAAATCTCATTTTAATTTTTCCATGTGAGTAGCTAGTTGGCCCAGCACCAGTTATTGAACGACCCAATCTTTTTCCCATTGATCTATATAATGTCACCATTGCATGTAGTTAGTTTCTGTTTATTTGTGGGTCTGTTTCTGGGCTTTCCATTTTAGTCTATTTGTCAATTTCTGCACCAATACCACACTGATTTAATTACTGTAAATTTATAATATGTGAAAGTATGAATCTTTCCTCCTTGTTTTTCTTCCTTCAAATTATTTTGGTTAATTTAGTCTTTTATTCTATGTATGTGTGTGTATGTATGTATATGTGTGTGTGTGTGTGTGTGTGTGTATACATAAATGTGTCTGTATATGTGTAAAACACTGTGTATACAAAACAGTGTGTATATGGAGAATCTCACTGAAATATTGATATATTAAATTAGGGAAAATATCTTTATATTACTTTTGTCTTATTTATAAAATGTGAATGGATAACTAAGGATCACCTGATAGTTGAGAAACATCTTTAATGGGGGGAGGGGAGAGAGAGAGAGAAAGAAAGAGGTGGAGTGAAAGACTTTCATAAAAGATACTTTGGAAGGTAAAATTTAAAGAGCAGAGAAGAACTACAACCTTTTTTTTCTAATTAATATTCTTTTCTAATTAATGTTCTCAGAGATTTGAGAAGATACTATGCCATAATAACTCAGCATGGCCCAACGCTAACAATTACAGAATAAGATCTAGCTCTTAGAGATGAAAAATATAAGTAATATAAAAAAATTCAATGGGTGTCTTGTTTGATAAGGACAATGAAATAGTTCAGAAAGTTTACAGAGGCACAAGTTATGAAAGACAAAAAAAAAAAAAAAGACAGAGGTTTTGTCCAGGAGGTATAATATTCAACTTATAGGAATTCCAGAAAGAGAATAAGGAAAATAGAAGGGAAGAATTTATAAATGAAATGTTTAAAAATTTCCAGAGCTGATGGACATGAATTTATAAATTGAAAGGTTAGTGAAAAAGTGAGTGAAAAAAGGTACATTCGTGTGAAATTTCAGAGCACAAAGGGAAATGAGAAGATCCTAAAGAAGGAAGGGAGGAAAAGGGTGAAAAGGAATCATGTCATCTGTAAAGGAATAAGAATCAGATTTCTTACCAGCAATGCTGGATCCTGGAATATGTAATGAAGCAAATGACTTCAGAATTACAAGGAAGAGTAATTTTCAACTTAAATTTCTCTGTTCAGAAAAGTTGTCAATGAAGGGAGAGATGTTTTCAAAAGATAAAAGGATTTAGACAAGGTGTCTCTTACAAATTCTTTCTTAGGAAGTTACTTGAGAATGTGCTCCAGTGAAATTGAGGGAGTAAATGGAAAAAGAGGAAATCATAACCTTCAGAGTATTGTAGATTAACCCAGGAGAGCACTTCATGAGAGTTTTCAGGAATACTAGAAAGGAAACATGTGGAAGTTGGGGTAGTCGTATTGGATAGAGCTGCTAACTGAATACTTTGCTTAGTGGAGAATTTGGAAAAAAAAAAAAAAAGAGGTTACAATAAGGATAAATAATGTAAGATAAAAAGGCAATTAGAAACTCAAGGAAAAACATAAGTTTTGAATAATGAAAGCCTAATTAGTACATTATCTAGGGATATTATTTATAATGATAATGTAAATACTGTTCATTTTCATATTTTAAAATCCTTCTATAGATAAAGAATTGAAGATTTAATTATATTTGCCAAATAATGCCTTCACAACATAAAAGTACATATGTCAAAAGTTAGGAGATAGATGTGGAGAGGAGAACTAGGAAAAGATAAAGGTCCTAATACTTTTATAAGGTAGAAAGTTAAATACTAACACTCGTTAAGGGATTAATATAATGAGAATATATGACTTGGAGTTACAAATATAATTAACAGTGATGTAAATATTTGAGGAGAATAGAAGGTGGGAGTGATGTAAAGCACTAAATTCACATCTTGATATCATAGCAAGGAATCAATAGTGAATATATAAAATTGGCAAATCAAGAAACAAATAAGTATATTTAGAGATTTCAATTTAACCACCAGAACTAGCAGATGAAAAAGTTAAAAAATAGTTATCTTAGAAGAATGGAACTAAGGGTGAGGAGGAGTGAAGCCCTTCTGTACTATTTTATTTTTTAAGTATGTGCATTGTTCATTTTACTTAAACACAAAATAAGACAAAAGTCATGGGTCTTAACGAAGCAGTTCATATTGTTATCCTAGTGTATCCTTTGATACTTGCAAGCTGTGCGTCTGGCCCGAAATATTAAGTTCCTATCCTCCCTTCTGAGGGTTCTTCATTGTTACCACCAGGAATGAACCCTTTTGGCTTAGTTTCATTCAGCCCCCAACTTTATGCCCCGAACAAGAAAACAGAATTGCTGTGCCAAAATTCTAAGATCCACTTTGTCATAAGGAGTGGCCTTACACATGCGACCCCAGCTCTGAACACATAACAACACTCAGTAAATATTTGCTGGAGTGTAATTAAAATGCCTAGAGAGACCAGATGCCCCTGGCAGGTTCTGTCTGTGACTTCTCTTCATCCGGAAGCAGAAATAGCATCATGTTTGTTCACTCAACACATGTTTGTGCAGATCCTACTATGTTGCTGGTCAGCCAGGGAGACACGGCCTCAGCCTTCATGGAGACTGCCATGCAATAAATTTCTACGTACTTACACACAGCAAAAACTGCATGAAAGAAAAGAGTTGGACTGTTAAGGGAGAATACCTTTATTGGGAGATGAAGGGAGACTTTTCTGACCAAGTGACATCCAAGTTCAGGATGAGTAGGGCCAAGCCAGGCCAAGATAAGAGGACTGTCTAGGCAGAGCAAGTAGCACGTACAAAGGTTCTGAAGTGGAAAAACTGGGTGTGCAATAGTGGGGTGCCATCTCACACTTTACTGTGACCTGGGGGCATTATTAAAAGGCAGATTGGGATTCAGGAGTTCTGGGATGGAGCTAACCTCCTGAATTCCCATCCAGCTCCCAGGCAATGTGCGTGCTGCTGGTGTGGGCTACAGCCCACCCTTAGAGTAAGGCCGTGTTAGAGGAACTGAGCACACGTGGAGAGCAAGGATGAAGGTGAGGAGAGGAAATTAGAAGAGCAGACAGGGATCGGATCATGCAGCGTCTTGGGGGCCACCTTCTAAACGGGAGCAGCAGAGTCACACAGACTGAGCTGGCAATTGATAAAATGCTTCTTACATTCTCTACGTGCTCTGTAACATTGCTGCGAATGGTCGTGGTTGAATCACACATACCCCTGGGGGTTTACGATGCTGGGCTTGTTCTTTGATGCTTGAAAACTCTAAGAACTAAGCAACTGGGGTTTCTAGAGGTGTTCAAAGTAGAGACTGGTAAACAACACAGCCAGAAGCCCACTCTGTCTCTCAACTTCCCTCTGTCCCACCCTCGGATCTGCTGCTGCATTTACAAAAAAGACAGTGTGGTGTGCTGGAAAGAGGAGCCTGAAGACTCGGGAGAAATCTCAGCTCACCATCTGTGTATCTCCCTGACCTTGGGCATGTCCTTGAACAGCCTGAGCCATGGGTTCCACATCTGTAAAATGGAGAGGCATAATCTCCTTTGGCAGGCCGGGCTGTGTACAGCCAGCATGGCCATTCAGTGAATGAGGTGTGTTTTTCCTAAATCCTAATCCCAAATCCCAAGTGGCTCCCGATAGGCCACCTTCTGCACAGAGTTTGAGGATTTCAGACTGCTGGGACCTTCTTTATTCTGAAATGCCACTCCACTCAGAGAAATTTCCCTCGCCTTAGGAAAACCATCAGTATCTTGGGTTAGAGTAGGTAATTATAAGAAAAAAGGGGGGAAAAAACAAGAGGGAGGATTATTTTCTTTTTCAAAAGAAAATTCTCTGTAGGACAAATAAATGAGCTGGGTTCCCCTGCTTAGGTCTGTGCTGACCTTTTCCTCCCTGTCTATCTGTCTGTCTGTGTCTTCTACTCAACAACAGGATGCCCTCCTTCTCCCCCTCCTCTGGCTGCAAACAACCCCAGCCGGAGCCACTCTGTCTGCCACGCTGGGCTCTGTTTAAAGGAACAGACCCGTTTCTCACAGAGGAACAAGTAGGTAAACAATAATATATTTTTTTAAGCCCGGAAAGTCGCTCAACATACTCAGCATGGAGCGACAGTCTCTAGCATTCCCCAGCTAGTTTCAGGACAAAGGTCTCCAGGCTAAGGATGCTTCTTTTCTTTAAAAGAGTAAAAGAGGACAACAGGAAACCTTGGCGAGAGGGGCCAGGAGGCCCGAGGCAGGCAGACAGGCAGGCAGGCAGGCAGGCAGGAGTCTTAGCCTGAGGAACCCGGGAGGCTGTTCTCAGCAATCCAGGCAGGAGAGGATGACTTTTGCTCTGATATGCTTTGTCCCCTAAACTGCACCTTTTATTTGCTGAGCACTTGCACCCCCCCCCACCCCCGTGATCTCCCTTGACCCCTCTGAACTCAACACCCCCATGCATGCATTATTACCCCCATTGTGCATAGATGAGGAAACTGAGGCCTGGAAGGATACAGGAATTTGCCCAAAGCATTTCTTTCTTTCTTTCTTTCTTTTTTTTTTTAAGATTTTTAAAAAAACTTATTTGACAGAGAGAAAGAGAGAGGAGACCACAAGTAGGCAGAGCAGCAGGCAGAGAGAGAGAGAGAAGCAGGCTCCCCGCAGAGCAGAGAGCCCGGTGCAGGGCTTGATCCCAGGACCCTGAGATCATGACCTGAGCCGAAGGCAGAGGCTTAACCCACTGAGCCACCCAGGCGCTCCTCCAGTGTTCATTTCTAAACAATATTGACCTCCTTTTGGAATAACCTGACCCCACCCCATAGTTTTGCCGGAGAGGAAAAGGACCCATTTTCTAAATCCGGAGGAGTGCGCCAGTCTAGAGTATCGGCGGGGGTGGGAATAGGGCTGAGGTTCCCAGGGTCCTGACTCAAATACCCAATGCCAGTGGTTTCAGTGAAAGAAAAATCCAGACACGTAATCAGCAGCACCATTTCCTCGTGTGGATATCCCACTCGGGAGAATTCCCACTTTTAGGGAACCTGGACTGGATCCTGACGGCAGAACCAAGGGGCACTTGGAGATTTGGAGGATTGGAGGTTTATTCAACACTGGTGTACTCCTCAGGACAGCGTTCTCCAAAGGTCTGAGCCCGGCGCCCAACCTGGGAGAGTAATTTATACCTTTCTACTTCCGCATACTTGGTACTTTTGGCGCATGCGCGGGGCTGGGGTGGGCGGGTGGGGGGTGGAGGGAAGAAGAACCCGGAAGGGCTTGGAGACGCGACTGGAATTCCCTTGCTGGTTTGGTAGGCCACCTTAGAGTACAGTTTTTTCCTCATCACCACAGTGAGGTTTTCCCTCCACCACCCCTGTCTCCATGCGCTGTCCCCATAGTGGCCGTCCGCTGAGGCCAGAGGCCTGGGCTGTGCACCCATGTTCCCATCTGTTCGCGGCAGCAAAGAAATACAGCAGATCCCCTTATCCGCGGTCTTGCTTTCTGCCCCTTTGAGTTCCCAGCAGTCACCTGGGGTCTGGAAGCAGATGGCCCTCCTTCTGATGGATCATCGGAAGGCCCACAGGAGCCCGACGCTATGTCGCATGGCTGCGCCATTCCCCTCGCTGTGTCTCATCATGTAGGCATCTTAGCATCTCCCATCATCATGAGAAGGGTGAGTACAGTACAGCAAGATATTTTGAGAGCGTCTCCCGACTTTCATTACAGTATATTGTTATAATCATTCTATTTTTTTCTGAGCTCTTGTTGCGAATCTCTGACTGTTGCTCATTCCTAAGTTAGACTTTATCGTGGGCATGTATGTATAGCACAGAACATAGTGTATATAGGATTTGGTACCCTCCGTGGTTTCAGGCATCCACTGGGAGTCTTGGAAATGATCCCTGGTGGATAAGACGGAACTACTGTAATTACCAGAAAAATAAAGCCACAGAATGTGTTCTCAAACTGAGTAGAAAGAAAATATTTTTGGCTTCTTCAAAAATATAGTGACGGTGCCCTGATGGGGATAAGTCAACTGGGAGGGGTGTGGCGGGGT